TTGATTAATTAATAATAATATCTTAGACATTTAATGGCCTTATGGCACTGTTTGGTACAGTATTGGCCTTGTGGCAAGTTAAACAAAATTCTTAATATGTGTTGTAACTTTTACCAGGAGAATGTGAAGAAGATCCCTACGACGAAGGAGGCTTCTGATCAAGGATTTGGTAAAATAGTTGGAAGCCAATTTATTTTTATATTTCAAAATTATTTATGTACAATATATTGTAAGATGCACTAAAAATTATTAGTCCTCTAAGCAACCAGTAACAATAAATTAGATCAAGAAAATTGTGTTTTATTATTTAATTTATAATAAAATCTTAGCAATTCAATGGCCCTATGGCACTGTTTGGCACAGTTTTGGCCTTGTGGCAAGTTAAACAAACTTTTTAATATGTTTTGTAACTTTTACTAAGAGAATCTGAAGGTAAAATTGGTAAAATAGTTGGACGCCAATTTATTTTTATATTTCAAAATTATATATGAACAATATATTGTGAAATGCACTAGAAATTATTAGGCTTTCAAGCAACCAGTAACAATAAATTAGATCAAGAAAAATGTGTTTGATTAATTAATAATAATATCTAAGCCATTTAATGGCCTTGTGGCACTGTTTGGCACCGTATTGGCCTTATGGCAAGTGCAAACTTTCCATACCCACTGTGAATAGTAGGATTAATAAGAATTTGTATTAAGTAGCTTCAAAAATCGACATTCTCTTGCCCGTTATTTAAAACTGATGATTTTTTAATTTAAACTGAATCAGTATTTTCCTAAAATGTAGAGAAAGAATACCAGAGAAACGGCTGGGCCGACAGTTGTTAATAAAATACTCAACGTTATCAAACAATACAAATTTTGACAATGTAAATGAACACTATAGAAAAATTTTAAATTAGCAAAACTTAGCATCTTAAATAAATTTCAATATTTTTGGGCACGAATATTTTAATCTATTTATAATTTTCACTATGCATAACGTGTTATAAAGTCTTAAAAAAGAAATTTATAAATGTTTGAAGTGTTTTCTATTGAATATATAAAACGATGTTACGTATAACGACACACGTGCCTATACACAATCTATAAACTGTCTTCTGGTTACATTATGTAGGTCTTCCGCCCCCGGCGGGTGTGAACCCGCACCTTTGCCTTTCCACGTCTTAGGGCTCTCGGAACGACTCAGAACATGTAAGGCTTCTAGAGCTTTTACTAGGAATCCAAAACTTGCCTCGGTTTGGTACAAACTTTGCATAAAGCTTGCTGCTTTCGCAAAAGCACAGAGCTGACTCAAACACCGAGCTTTCGTTTCGCGAGTGAGTTCAGGTTGTGTGACTGCTGATACCGTATTACTAGACGATAATGGTTTTAAGTAATATTGTTGCCAAGTTAATCGGAGACATTATACAATACTTGAATATTTAAAAGACAATACGACAAAATAAAATATACTTCGGTTCATACTTCAGTTAAAAAATATTGACAAAAATCGTCTAATAAGCTTACAACAATAAAAAAAGATTTATAGATCTTTTAATATAGATTATCTAGGAACGTTAAATAGTTATCCTAATATATGTAATTTTTATAATACACCGAATTTGGTTATTATTTTAATTATTAATTTTTAATTATTTTATTATGAAGTATTATTTAAATCCCTTAATCCTATTTCCTTAAATTTAATTAATTATTAATTTAAAAACACGATAATTTAATTTGCAAAAAATTTTATTCAAAAAGTTTATTATTCCAGACGACGTTCTTTCGAATGAAGATCTCGAATATAATCATAATAATAAAGCAATAATAGTTTTAATAATGAAAAATGCCTAAACCTAAATTTACAATCTATTTGAGGTAGATATAATGGATTACTTGCTATAAATAACGGAGCATATGTAAAACATTGTATTATTAACAAGTGATAAATATTTCTAATATATATTGTCTATATAAATTCTATTTATAATGTTCACAAAATTAGTAACAATGACAGTCTTAATATGAGGTACAATGAGAAACGTAACTATATTCTTAAAACTTGAATATGGTTATTGCATTAGTGTTAAATATAACAAACGAGCTTATCAATCTAAAGAAGCATTAACAAATTAACTATCTCCTAAGAAGCGCATGCGAATTTAAGCTTAAGTTTATTAAAAATTTTGAATAAAACGCAGAAAGCAAATTTGTAATTGAATAATTGGCAAAATAAGCGTAATTTAGCAAAAAACACACGCAAAAAGCTTTTAATTTCAATCGAATCAGGCGAGAAAAATTTACCTTCGTAATTAAAACACAGAATTAAATTGCTGATTAAACTAAGTTATTGCGCTTTCTGGAATATGAGATCAGAGAAAACATTATTTAACTTTTGTTTGTGCCTAAATAATGCTGGAAACTTTTGAGCCAATTCTCGGATAAAATAGATATGTTATGGTAATGCTATATTACGGGTCTAAGATTTGTATGAGTTTTATACATAAAACGTTTTCTACAAAACGCACAAACGTGAAATAATAATTTCAACATGAGTGCAACTTTCTGACACCTCTTTGATAATACATACGTGAAATTAGGATTTATGTGTAAAACACCTGATCGTATTCATACGAACATAGACCCGTAACATAGCATTACCATAATATACCTATTTTATCCGAGAATTGTCCCCTTTGTCTAATACGTTGGGAATGAATAAAAATCTATGTAGAGCATTCAGTAAATATTGATAAATATAGTTTTGAGATGATAAACTAACGTAGAACTCAGTTGATAATACTCCTCAAGATAAATAAAACTACTCATACCCAAATATACCAATGCACTCTCCACAGGCACTCTTGCAAACAATTTTGGCACAATTATCACAATAAAGGAATCGATCTTATCATCGCCTGACAGAGATCTTTGCAGAAGCAATACAAGCGAAATTTAGTCGATAACGAATCGAAATTCCAAAAGTAGCCTAATTTAAATAAATAAAGCAGAATATCACACGCATAAGCAGCGGACAATTCGTCCAACCAAAATAACTAAAACACTTCCCCGTCATTATAACTTTAATAACGGAAAATGTACTCGAACCACAGCAACGTGAGTTCGCACAAACCTTGATCAATGGGTTATAATTTTTCCGGCGCACACCTGCCGCTGAAAAGTAAAGCTAGCGCAAACTATTTTTATCTCTCGGTATAATGGAACAATGCGTATACTTTTAATATATAAAAGAAGCGATTATAGCGTTTTTATCAGGGCGCAGGTTTCAAGTGCAGAATGACTAGTATCATAATACTTCAACAGAACTTCTTTAAAATGTTTAAACAGAATAAATAAATATTCTCGAAACAAGCTGCTGTAGCAGGTTGGTCGATTTTTTTACATGTTATTAAATTGAGCTATGTTCTGTAAGTTATTGGATGGTATAGAATAAATTATCCGTATTAGGTTTCTGACTTTACTTGCATATATAAAATCTCTTTATATACATAAATATTACTATATATAAATATGGTTAGGCTATTTATAAGGCATTATAAGGCAGCGGTTATATTGCAATTGAATTACACGCATTAGTTCCATAAACCTTCAAATAGGAATAAACATGCTTGAAAACACATCGAAACTAATAAATTAACACACATGGTAGCATAATTTTTAAAAATGAAAATAAAGATGTTCCAAATGTTGTCAAAAAACAAAAACATTTAGAAGAATTATGTAAAAATTAAATTAATTCAAAATTAAATTATTAAATTTGAGATATTTCAGGTTTACAAAATATTGATAGATTAAGATAATAAATAATTTCAATTGATTTAGTTAAAATATTTGTGTGTTAATTTATATGTATGTATGTGTAAGTGGACTTACTGATTACTTATTTATTTGTATATCTGAGTATTTTATGTTAAAATAATATGCCAATGTTTTTTATTCAGAAAGGTAATCAAACGTTTAGCTTTTTATCGTTCATTAGGATTCAATTTGACTTCAAATGTGAATAATATATATATATATATATATATATATATATATATATATATATAAGTGAACAATATTGTAAAAATAATAAAGAAAAATCTTTCGGGAACAAATATGTGGAATAGTTCAAGTCCGTAGTAAATTTCGTACTTCAAAACAAATTGAAAACTCGAGAATTAAAATTGAAATTTATTTTAAAGATTATGAATAAAATAAAATCTTTCGGAAACAAGAATATGAAAGACCGGTCGAAACTCGCAGTCAATAACTTCTTCAAAACAGAGTAAAAAGCCATATTTCAGACACATACGAGGTGTGTTCAAAAAGTACCCGGAATTACTAATAATTAAATTTCGCGGGTCTGGAGTGTCTGATTGTCAAAATTTTTTTTTTATTGTGTTGGTATACATGCCCCTGAAGTATGATGAAATTTTCAGCTATATTCACTGTTTACTTTGTCTGTGGTAGTCGCTAAGGTTCGACGTGTTTTTCTGAGCTCGGCGATTTTTACAATGGAAGAATTGAAAAGTCAAAGAATTTGTATTAAATTTTGCGTAAAAAATGAAATAAAGTGTTGCAAAGTGCAAAAATTCACCAGATATGGCTCCGTGTGACTTTTTCCTATTCCCAAAGTTGAAGAGACCCATGAAAGGACGGCGGTTTTCCTCGATTGAAGAAAATCGCTGAGAGTGCTCAAGGACATATCAAAAAGTGAATATCAAGGGTGCTTCGAAAATTGGAAAAAACGCTGGCATAAGTGTATTATATCTGGGGGGGACTACTTTGAAGGGGACCACATTAATGTAGACGAATAAATAAATATTTTTTTGAAAAAACGAAAATTCCGGGTACTTTTTGAACAGACCTCGTATATAAGACGATTTTCAAGCATGTTTATTCCAAATTACGATTCATCATTTAAATCGTATGATGTGCGTTCAATATCAAGTATCGAGCACACAATTCGCGCATAATATATCGGTACAAAGCTAGTCTTGTACTCACGTAACGGTCGAGATGCGCAGCAGAAGTCAGGCCGTCCTGTCCCGTCGCGTAACCCAGGCCCAAGCCGAAATTCAGGCCACGAGCATGCCTCAGAAACGCCGCCGTCGCCGGAAAATTGTAGTAATCTAGCGTTGTCTCACTTGGCGGCATAGGTGGAGGCGGAAGAGCTATCGGTGTAGAAGCTCGTATCGGAAAGGCACTGATCATTCGTTTTGGGCTCCAAGGTGCGCCGGCAGTCTCAGATTGCTGAAAGAGGAGAAGAAATATTAGAAAACAATGATCAAAACATTGATACTTATTCAAAAATAAGTCACTACATATATCAAAACATAATCAATAGAAAATAAACTCCTAATATACAAGACAATTATTAAACCAATATGGTCTTACGGCCTACAACTATGGGGTGCGGCCAGTAAATCGAACATAACTATTCTACAAAGGTTCCAAAATAAAATTTTGAAAGAAATCGTGAACGCTCCAAAATACGTTCCCAACTGGTTGATACATCAAGATCTCAGAATTCGAACTATAGAAGAAGAAATTAGTCTTTACTGCACCAGATACAAAGCTCGTCTAAGTCGTCATCCAAACGTATTAGCGTCTGATCTGCTCAAGCCTTTACCGCCAAAGCGTCTCAAAAAAAGAATCTGCAATGATTTACTACAAAATATAATTTAACATCTATGAAGGCGCTATCGCAGGATAGCGATCCTTCTCACGCAGACAAATAATATATAACTGTAACAAATGTAGCTGAATGTACTTTGTATAGCTTGCTATGAATAATAAATCAAAAAATATATATATATATCAAAACATAATCGTGTAATCGTATAACAACTTCCAGATCAGTATCTACATTTTGTTACAATCTATATTTCTATTATTACCTCTGATTCCATTGAATCCACCCTAGCTCGTTTTTTAGACGGTCCATCACCCGTACTAAGATCCATTGGTGCATCATTCGATACCAGATTGCTAACATCCAAAGGATGAGTTGCTGCAACCATTACCCTCGGCTTCTCTTCCACTCGATTTTCAATTTCCAACTTCCTCTTGCCGCCATTAAATGGTACTTGTTCGATTTCTGGACTTTTTGCTTCTGGAGCACGCATTCGTCTGTGTTCTTCTTTGAAATTTTTACTGGCAATCGGTGGTCTATTTGGCTGCACCTTTTCGCAAGGAGTCACTGTTTGCGAAGCAGGCAATGTTAAAATCGGAGGCGGTGGTGTTGCTGGAGGAGTAGTCAGAATATTGCTGTTCGGGGATATTGATCGAGGAGAACGTTGGCAGTCTGTGCAGCCCATTAGGAAACGAGTTACGGCCTCACGTGGTAAAAAAGCGTATGTTTCTGTAATCTGTGGAAAAATAAAATTTTCATTACGTAAATCTCACCTGATTCAAACAGAATGTGCGTGCATAATTTATAAACATGACTTACCGTGCGGTATGTTCGTTTCTGACCAGCATGTTTCCCGCATCTGCCTTCCAAATCTACATGAACACTGTAGATAATGTCAAAAAAGTTTTCGACTACTGCAACTTTGCGATATGATGATGCAGTCGGTTGCATACCCTGAAACCATAAAGAAGATCATATTAAATGACATAAATTTAATAAACACGCTCACACATACTTATATATATATATATATAATAAAATTTAAAATAAATATATGAGTTATATGTTTGTGTGTGTCAGAACTATATTTTTCTACGCAATAACCCTCAAATAATTCCATATAGTCTTCTGCTATTATTATACATCAACAGCATATATATGAAACCTTGACTGGAAGCTCTCACTGTATTCTGTGCGAGTATAAACCCTACAATCGGGGAGTCCCTCAGATAAGTGACCGACAATCCAGCAGTGGATTTAGCTTTTCAAATATTCTCCCTGCATATGCTATACTCTATGAAATTTTACCTCAAATATTGCTAAGAGAAACGGAAAATTCAAATTAATAATAATCCTGCATTATAAAATACATGAAAGCAATTAATTGCAGAACATGCTAATATTAGTAGCTATGATTTGGAAACGTTTTGTTTAGATAAATATAGATGAAAACTTTGTATTTTATCTTTATTTGTCGAGAATGTAAAATTACTTGGTACAAAAAAAATGAAATGTAAAACTTCATTCCTAATATGACATGCGATTTTGCATCCAAAACGATTTGAAATATTTGAAATCTCATTGTGTATAGCGTACAAATAAAATTGCGGATGTTCTGGAACGCTTTTGTACGATCCGGGCAAAACCGCCGAAAGTTTTTGGCGCATCCGTTCTGTTTTGTCCGAAAGTGATGGCTCTCTACAAATCCCCCTAGCAGTGATTTCAATTGATGTTGTCCGAGAATTAAATGCATTCAAAACATAAAAAAACTCTAGACAAAGTAAAAAAATCGTTGTGTTAATTCTACTACTAGATGTAATAATCTACTTTTAAATGAATTAAGAATTTTTTATTTATATCCCTCGAAAATGCGGTTATGCGTTATCCAATAGTTTCCCATTCGATCTTTATTTCACGATGCCCCCTATCATTTCCTATTATATTTGTAGAAATTTGAAATCAAATCAGGGCATCCATATCGATCTAAACCTTTCCAGTATCCTCTCGTGATATTTTCTGCTGTCAGTCTATTCTGGTTCACGGATAATATTTCGTGAGAGAGAAAAATATTGAATAACGGGGATGCTGGGTCGCACTTCGGTTGCCTTACCAAAGGCAACATGACATACAACTGAACACTTTTCTTCTACCAGAAGGAAAATACGTTCTAGCCAACCCAGAAGCCGTCATTCTGTCGACGAGCGATGAGAAAAGTGCCTAGAAGGGACTAGCAGAGGCATCTCTCCGATTCTCGGAATTGTGCACCCCAACCCCACACGTGAGAGGAACAGGGAGACTCCAACAGACGGACGGACCAAAATCCCAAAACTTCCGAAGCAACGTAAAGGTCTAGTGATGGAAACATTTGATCGCGGAAAATATAGATAATTTGATAAAAGACTGGTCAAATGGACTAAGAAATATTGGATTTTTGTCGACTTTCAATAAAATTTAGATTAATCAATCATTTGAATTTCATATACTATGTAATAAAATAATAAATGAAATGTATATATCTCTGAGTTACACATTATCAATTATATTTCTACATATTTCATTCTTAATATTTATAGTTTAGATTTTATTGTTTGATTCAATTGGTAAAATAAAAGATTATAATAATAATAGTTGTATTAGATAATAATATGTTGGATTAATTGCACTATTTTATGTGACAGGCTATCTAGCTCATTAAGTAATTTGTGTTATTGTGCTATTAGTTAGAGTAAATTTGTAAAATATATGTTCAATAAGTATGTCTGTTTACTTATTTGAGATTTAACTTATATGTCCAAAAAACTAATTTTTTGAATGCCATAAAGTAATAATCAAATTAGGTAAACAAATCAAAGTCTTGAATAATAAAGACTTGTTTTTAAACTTGCTTTATGAATGGTTCAATTGCCAATGATCAGTGGCATTCATAGACCAGACTTTAAAAAAAAATGTTAACAGACAAATGAAGAAGTTTATTAAATAAAATACTATATATGTTTGTAAACAATCATACTGCAAATTTGATTGTTTTTAAAATTTAAAATTTTATTATATATTTTTTAAACATTTTGGTAACATGACAACAATGACAATTATATGAAAAAATAACCTAATTTTTCCATAAAATTCAAAATGTTTGTGATTTTAAAAATCCCTTTTTGAGATATATTATCATTAATATGGTATAAATGTTCGAAATCAAAATGAGAAACTAGTGGGGTGGGTGGCATCGTGCCTTAAGGCAAATTGCTGGAACTTCCCGTACCGTAACGAAATGTTCGAGGAATACTGAATGTTTTCAAATAGATTATTATAAATATTGTAACATTGTCTAATATTTATAAGAATTATATAAACTGAATTGCAAAGTTGAAATTATTTGTTTAAAGTATATTAGAACTATAGTCAGAATTAAAAATAAAATCTGAATTATTTTCGATATACAAAAAATTAAAAAAAAATCCAAAATCATTTATTTTGTTAAGACAAGTAGAAAGTTCTTTAACTTACAAACAGAAAATCAATTAAATCGGACGCTTAGTTCTCTCAAAAACTACCATTTTTTGTACATTTAGCTCCGTATCTTCAAAATGGCTGGGCCTACCTTAACTAAAAACTAATAACCACTTCTCCCAATCATTACTAATTGAATGTTTTTAGTTCATTCAAATCGGATGCTCCGTTCTCTCAAAAACTCGATTTCTATTTTCTGCGCTCTTTGCTCCGTATCTCCGTAACGGCTGGACCTGCCTTTGCCAAAAACTAATCAGCACATCTCCTTATCAATAGGACTCAAATGTTTTTTGAACCATTCAAAACGCCCGAAATCGTGGACAAAAAATTGTATCCATACATACACACACACACACATCCATTTTTTCTGAAGTATGCCAAAATGTTCAGAAACCTTCAAAACGTCGAGAAATGTGAAAAATTTCAATTCCGATTTTCGGCCCATTACAATAACTTACCCTACGAAAAGTTAAAAAGTAAAATAGAAGTATATTAATTTTAAAGTTAGTTACATTCTAACTGACTTTTTCAACTAGAACCGAGATTTGTATATGTATATATATATTATTATATAGTAAGTTTTACACAATGTCCTGAATTGGGTAACAAGTCAAAAGATGGGATCAAAATACTTCTGACCGTAGTCAGAAATTTTTGAATTAAAGATAATTTAATTTTAATTAATCTCAGTTATATACATTTACAAATCTAGTCATTATAGTTCACGATTTGTATGCGAAACTTGATTTTGAGAAAGTTCATTTTGGAGAAATTATTGAAAATATGGTAAATTAGACAAGATGCTAAAAACCATACAGATAATATCATGAAGTTATAACAAATTTCCTTCTTATCATATAAATTTTTTTAAAACGATTTGTTATTTGTAACCATATAAAAATGATATGATTCTAAACAAAACAAAGAAAATTTGATCCTAAATATGATCCTAAACAAAAACAAAGAAAATTTGATTAAAACAATAAACCCCGAATAACACAATAATAGTTCCACGAAGTCGATAAACTATCTTCTGCCAATAACTTTCCACCACTATATCGTACCCAATTCCTCGTGCACCAATCTCATTCACCGCTCTCACACCCCTTACCGACAATCGGGAAATACGCTCGGCGCCCTCATCCCTCATGAAACTCTCTCTCACACAGGGTGCAGGCCGACGTTACACAACGCACACTATCTTACCCGACCCAGTATTCGTTCGACGCCGACGGCTAAAACTTTTTCATAATAAACTTTTTCTCCGCGCTCGCTGGCTGCCGAGCAGCAGTCGAGTTCCACGGAAAAACGAAAGGAAAGACGGACAAAAAAATTCCACAGCTCTGGGTAAACGGATGTATCAGGACGTACATGCGGGTTTCAGTGTATATAGATATATATTTAGCTAAAGTGCTTGTTTATATTCGTATTAAATGTATTTATGTAAGGGTTAATGAAATGTACTTGCGAAATTATTAGCACCAAGGTTAGATAACTATACGAGTATAGAAGATTAATATAATTTAACATTTCGCAGACAGTACAAGTTTCAGCAAGGTAAAAAAATTGACAGTCATTTTATTTATAAAAATCGTTTATGAGAGTAGTCAGATTATCATATATTAATTGTTATATATGATGAATGCTATAGCATCCACGTCAATTATTACACTTCTATTGTACGCAAGGTGTTTGCCCAAGCTAATTAGTAACTCTTGTATAAGTTATTATAATATGAATATACTTGAAGAATCAGTTAGTCATTATCTTGCAGGTATAATAATTACAAAAACCTAAAATTAAAAATAATCGTCTTTAAAATTTGAATGCTGTAGCATTCATGTCATTTTGGATCAGAATGAAAATAATTGTTATAGCATTCTAGATAGTTATCTATTATATAAAAATAAGTCCGGTTTTCCTTCCTGACGATATAATACGAAAACGCACGAACTGATTTTACATTCGTTGGAAAGGTCTCGGACACCGTGAGGTTTATGGCAAAAAAAATTGAAGAAAGATTTCAACAGGAAAGCGGAAAACACTTTCTTTTTTCACGTACAGCGTCATCCCTGATACTAAGCATGTACTACAAACTAATATTTTTTGTTTAACTGCTACTTATTTGTTTGACAGCTACTCATTGTTCTCTGATCAGTTAATTTCATGTGACAAACCAGCATTGTGTTCACTGTGAAATTGTGCCAAGAAGTAAAAAAATAAGCTATTCGTTTCCTAACATTTCAATTGGAAACCTTCAAATCAATCACGTGTATTGTGCAAATTTTTATTCAATTTCAATAGCAGGCAATTTTTTTCTTCATCTTTTAATCACCAAACAAAATGTTACTTAAAATAAAACCATCTGGTGGTGAAACGGAGTTCGCCCGGTTTGCTAGTCATTTATAATTATGTGATTTACAAAACTAAACTTGCGTAATAAT